ATATAGCTATTGGATGTCCAGATAAATTCCTACTCACCGAGCAATGCATTTATTGATGCGTTCTCATTAAAAAATGATAACTTTGAAAATATTTATTTCGCTTATTCAGTCTTATCACTTGTCCGTTTTGCCCCGAATACTGCTTCGTTTTGCCCCAAGCCAGGGGCAAAATGAGGAAAAAACATTGCCAGATATTTAGGAGGATCACACTTTAACATGAAGAGGTATCAAGCCAGCGCTTTTATAAGAGATAGAAAATTCATCAGCCTTCCATATCCACCTGCTAAAGACTTTCTGGACAGACTTATGAACTTCCCATATTAAAAAAACCGTTAAGGTGTCCGTCCTGCCCCGCTTTCCCCGATATTTTATAGCTTCTCATGAATCAACAACTGCGAGTCCCGAGCTTTTGTGAGCTTAGCTAACAATTACAAAAATGGCGTATGACATTAAATCAAGGGCCATGCGATAACCTTCGACGACTCCGAACATACGCATTTTTATTTCCTCAAGGTAAGTCTCAGTGTGTTTTCTTTATGATCAATTCATAAAAACAATGTGTTTTATCGGTAAAAAGATTGACTAAGAACAAACTACCGCGCACATAACAATGAAAGCAGTGCGCATAAAAACAACGCACTTTTGATCATAGTCTGCTTCAGTGACAATCTCAGTGATTAACAACCATACCATCGCCTTGCATGTAAGAATGAGAGGCTCGAATAAAGAGAACAATCACTTAAGTAAAGTCTGAATACCCTCGGGAGGGATGACGTAACACACAGGGACACACACGCACACACACACACACACACACGGATATGGCCTTTGAGACTTGTCGCTGAAATGAAAATTATAGACTTTTGACCGGTCGTAAAGTGTCTCCAGATAATCACCTTCAAGTTCACACTTAATGGATACATCCATTCATGTACATCGGCTGTGAAAGGTAGCATTCTATAGTCCTGTGAGCTGTGAAATGAATCGCTCAACTTTCGGTACCAACGCACGGTAAGCTCGCACCCCTTTCCGCATATGCATATAAGTTTGTTCTCAGTTAGTCTTTTTGACGATTAGGCAATGTTCCAGATATGAAAATGCCGAAACATTGCTTAGATAGAAGGAAATAAGCGTGCTTACAACTATAAGCTTACTTTTAAGAAGGAAAGACTGCTCTAGACAATACAGTTTCTGGTTTTAGTAAGTATGCTCCTAAATATGTCATTGTTTGATTGTGTCATCGTGTCTTCCACAACATTTATTGAGAACTTAGAAATCGTGCTCACAAACGCCAGATATGAAAGACCCGGCACTTATATTTCTCTTGGCCTTGATTGTCACACTGCCAAGGGAATGACAGAATTTGAATGACGTCATCATGTCATGGATGCATAGGTGACCTTGAAATAGTCATCCTAAGCTGCTGTTGGCTGCACTTGGGAAACGAATGGGACGTGCAAGGTCCCACGCGTCCAGCTGTCTGCGACCTGACCGCAAAAGCTTGGGTGATGGGCAGATAAGAGCGATCTCCTGGTGAGCGCGGGTCCGTGAGTACCTGGAGACTCTTAGAAGCGTTCAGTCCGCTTCCGATCTCGTCATTTTTCAGCATTGCTTCTTAACTGACCGCTGCACCATGGTAACCCAAAGTGGCTCTCTGGACGAATACCTGATCTCGCTAAACCGTAGTATCGGCTCTAACTCGTCATCTCTTTGCTCCTGACAGGCAAAGCGCTTACTTCAAGACAGTTCAAGGTGGGGATGACCTGAAGATGACGCGGAGCTGGAGGGAGATTTGTCAGAAATTTACTCTTTTATGGTGGAGGACTGCTGAAAAAAATTTCACCGCACAATGTGCGGCGCAATGTATGTCCCTTCGTACCTTAACTGGGTTTACAAAAACCTCAGAGCTTCTGCTTTTGTCCGGCCGTCTGAGGCACGCAGTCGGCGTAGTACAGATTTTTCAGTCCGGTCTGCTGCAGGTCGGCACAAGATCAAGTACAATTTTACCCACCTATGCTGCTGAAAAAAATTTCACCATCAAAAAAAAAATCACCATCAAAACCATACGTTCACGAACAAGTTGAATTTCAAATGGTGAAGCGGAAAACGGGGCACACCAGCCCGACTCGACTAACATCCGGACATGTTTGGAGTTGTGCTGCCATGTGGAAAGACTGCGAGAAGAGCATCCGTGAAGGTATCACATTTTTTTTTTCACGTCCCTACTGCAGACGTACATACAGCCGGCGGCGCGTGTTCGGTGGGCTGAACAGAGTACGGCACATGTCAGCCATCTTCTCTGTTCTGTTGGGGCTCCAGGGCAGAACCTCGGATCGTATTTTTTCGACGCACATAACTTCGTGCACAGGCCTTCGCGTCGCGTATCTTTGTGCGGAACTGTTGGTAACTGCAAAGCTTTGCGATCGCCAATATACACATGGACTCTGTATATCAAAACTTCGGATATTCAAATTTTAGAACATGCAAATGTTTGCATTAACCAAGGTTTGCTTACGCACTTCTTTTTATTGCTTTTGCATATGCACATTTCTTGAATTCAGCTTCTTCGTAACTTATATTCCTCGCATCACGTTTTTCGTGTGTGTCTTCACAAACTCTGAGCCATAAAAAGCCACAAAGCCTATTGCAAAGCCCGATGAAAGGACAGACTGTTTATCGGTAGCTGTACTGGTCCTAGATCACGCCGGGTTCCAAAACTACGGCAGTGCAGCCAAACAGGCATGCGTTGAAATAGTTACTTCCTATGCGTACAGCATAACTGAAGACTTAAGTCCCGCCCGGCATAGCAACTGGACGCAACAGATATTCATAAAGAGGGGACAAAAATGAGACAATTGCTTAACAGTAGGGCAGCGAGAAGAATAGGATGACTGATGCGTGGGATCATGACCTTTTTGGCGAGAACGTGCATTGATGAGCAAAAATCGTCAATGGTAACGCAGAGATCGTATCGAATGGCATTCTGTGCGGAAAACTGGTGGAAAAGGAAGACAATCAGCTGAGTGAACTTCAGTCATCGCGCATCCCAGTTTGCGGACTAAACTCGTTTCAGTTGCAGGGCGCCATTGATCTGTACTAGGAACTTCGGCGCCAGGCCGTCTGCCGTGCCACTCCGAGCGCGGCCGCACCACTCAGAACCAGAACCGGCCGCACGCCATCGACAGCGGCCGTTGGCGACATGTGAGGTGCTGTAACTTAAGAATGCTCACATTGCCAAGGGCATAGCCAATATAGCTGCTGCTCATCGTGGCATCCAGTGCTAGCTGCGACAAAACATGAGTGGTTGAGCTGTTTTCTACGCGTGCATGGGTGGACCAGTACATCTGGGCGCCATCTCCAGGACCCCGAGCGCTGAATTTCCCAGGATGTTTCAGACACGCTTCCATACAAACGTTCGCCACTGCCCCAGGCGGTATTGCGTCATCGGCCGGCTGGTGAGGTCGCGTAGCAACCGCGGGCGACGCCGGGGAGCGGCACCAGTAATTACTAGTAGCGTCCCGCGGTCGCACCCTCTTAACCAACCTTACCCGGGATCGCGGCGAATACCAGGAGGGTCACTGTTTTGATGACTATTTGCGGCTCTCGCTTTTGCGGAAGACGCCCCCGGAATGTCGGTGGATTGCTAAGGCCCGACGGCCACGCTGGCGTCGATCCTCGGCTGGTAAGCCTTACAGCATGGCGCACTCGTTCGCGTAGTTGGCTTTCAAGGAGCGGTTTGCCCATCGACCAGACACCAGGAAAGGAAAGGGGGTGGGGGGAGGACAGAAGAGAAACCATGTAGGCCTGGGATACGAGCACGACGCGGTACGTGCCGCGACTGGATATTGCAAACAGACTCATAACAGTTTAAAGATGCATCATAACTGTTGCGGGTAGGCGTGTTTCGTCGTTGTGGGGTCCCATTTACAACGAAATTTTTAAAAATGGTTGCGTACATTTCGAAAGCGAATTTTGAGTGAACAAAATGGGCACGGAGCCAGGATGTATCCCCAAAAAGGACAACTCGCGCCGCTGCCAGACTGCCTGCAGTCTTACCAGCACCATGATCTGTGAAGGATGTCAATCATAGCATTGCAACCTTGTAACGATATTCATTGTAACGAATCGCATTATAACACGCGCGTCAGGCCCACATGCCTGGCCATGAGGTGATACACGATGCGCGTAACGTTCTTAAAAAGGAGCAACGCGCACATGCCTGGCACAGATGCTTGCAGAGCGGGATCGCCAACAGCTGATGGCCATAACGCAGCGATATGCAGCACGCCAACAGAAAGCACGCACCAATTCCTTCGTTTAACTTATGGGGAAGGGGAGAGGAGTGGGCGAGTCGGCAGCCAGACTTTCCAGAGAAGGTGCAGGCGATTCACGATACAATGCAAGCACAGAACAACAGATATCGAAAACGCTGTGCTGGGCTCCGCCTCCGTAGCCGTTGGCACAACGAGCGGGATGTGTCGATTGGGATTCGTCGCATGCCAGACATGCCGGTCTGGGGCACCAGACTGATACTTTGTCAATGCTACTTTCGGTGCTACGCCACCACTCGCGTCGACTGCGGTTTTTATTTTTAGCGGCTCACGTGTGTATATAGAGCGATCCCGCGAGTTATAATCGGCCAATCTGGCTCTGCTTATCGCAGAGAATGCACAACTACGAAGGTCTCGATTCAACCTTTGAGGTGTCGTGGTCCGCCTCGGGCGCAATTCCAGCTTGCTGAGAACGAAGGCCTCTGGCTCCGGGTGGACCCAAGCCGGAGGAGGGCCTAGCCCCCCCCCCCCCTCCCCCACAAATCCTGGATACGCCACTGACATCCTGTCTTCATCAGCGAGTTTATTGTGACGTCACCGGCGTACTGTGCGTGTGCGTGCGGCGGGCTTGTGCGGCAGGTGACCAACCAATCAGCAGCCATGCCCCCGGGCGCCGTCAGGGCCAACCCTTCCCATCACATCACCCCTTCGTCCGGATTTTGGGTCAGTCCTCGCCGTGGCCTCACTGCCCGACCCGCCACCTCCCATCTCGCCGGTCTCGTGCGTTAGCACGGGTGGCTACTTTGTCTTTCATTAACTGGTAGTTGCCCACGGCGTTCTCGACGGCGTACGAGAGCGTGTTTTACGAGTGCCACTATGAAGATGCTATGCGCCGTCGTCTCGGTGGTGCTGGCTGCGTCTGCCACGGGACTGGATGTCTTCTGGAACGTGCCGACTGATGAGGTAAGCATGAGACTATGGCAAGAGGCCAGAGCAAGAGGACATGCATGGCGAGAGCGTGGCGGTCGGCCGGGTGATAACCACAAATTGATAAAAATGAGATAACTTACAATAGATAATATAATAACCCAATAAATGACTTGATAGCTGACTTATAACTGATAATCCGTAGCTGAGTAACCAGACGCGAGAGAAAAGGCCGAGTCGGCACGCATCAGTCGTCGCGGCGAGGACGCTCAGCGCCACCAGTTGAGACTGCGCTGACCGTTGGCGATCAGCTTGCGCTTCACTGAACCAACCATGCGATGGAGGCTCGCAGAGTACTCGAGCCGCGGGCGAAAACGCACCTGTTCACGTGATCTGACCATCGGATGCATGCTCGCGGTGATTCTTCAGAAGAATGTAGTAGCAACGTGTGAACTGCTGGCAAATGTCTTGAAACATTTGCTGAGTTTAGAAAAACCCCGAGTTAGAGCGCGCAAGCGCTGACCCGACATTAAACATTCGGCTCCTGGTGCCTGGGGCTGTGCCCAGGTGCTCTCCGCCTCCCTCATTATCAACGTCAGTGCATTGGAAACCACCCACGAGGCAGATATGGCACCAAGTCACGCCTCCGTGCCGATGACCAGAGAGTTATAACGGACCAAAGCACGCACCACGAGCCGGACTAGAAAAAAAGTCACTGGCATAGGTCAAAATCATACCGCGTATAGAGACCTTTACCCCTACTGGCCTTAATATAAGCAAGAAAGGTCTTCAGCTGTTGGTTTTTCGGCATCATTTCAAAGGTTCAGAGCTCTTAGCTCAGAATTCAGAGCTCTTTCTGAGGTTCAGAACTCTTATGTCATGCTGAGTCATCGGCCTTCAATATACCAGGAAGTAATGGTTACACGATGTTGCAGAGCAAACTTTGGTTACATAGACAAAGTTACGTTTCGAGCAAGTCATAAGCTGCTGAAAACCGCTGGTTTGACAACGCTCAATTTTGGTCACTCGTGTACGATCGATCGAAGCCCGGTTTGAAACGTCGGGTATTGTCGATATTAAACAGTGCCTCTTATTACATTGGAGGAATATTGGACGTACACATAGCGTATTGGTTCACGCGTTGTGTATATTGAAGATCGATAGCACAGCTTACGAACTCGGGACTCACGATACCTTGAACGCACTGTAAGAGAACGTAGCGTTCATTCGCCCCAATCCGTCCAAAAACCGACTGGCACATGCTAGCGTCGGGCCCCTGCCGCCGCCTCAGCGGCCGACCCTTGCACCCCGGCGAATCGGGAGACCCGCGGTCACGTGACGCCCCCCCCCCCCCCGGCATCCAGTCCGATGCAGAGCTCGGAAGACAGCGAAGGCGAGGGCGCATACCCCGCACGATCGCACAACACGCACCTTATGCGTGACATCGAGGCGTTATATTGCATGTGGTTTCTGTCGGCCGTTCGTGGCTGATATTCACGCACAGACGCGCCTCATTAGGTCCGTGAGCTTTTGTACCACGCGCCGGTGAGTTAACCTATGAAACAAGTGCTTCAGACAGAGGCGGCCAACACCTGGGGCGACACCGAATGGCGGCCGTGCGACGGGCGCTCAAGTAGCACCACCGGAGGACAACACTGCACAAAGAGACGCGCTGGCATTAAAGAATGCGATATTTCTCATCTTGAGCATTGGTTGACAAAACGCTTTATTAACGTCCTTTTAACGGCGTGTTTGAAAATAATAATTGAGAAGGGTCGCTAGCGTTCACACGTTTTTGGAACTTCTTAACGACTTCATCAAGGAAGCCTAAGATATTCTTTCACTCCACACACGGGAAAGAGGTAAGGCAACGGATCCGGCACCGGTAATATTGAAGTGCATACTCGGTACATTGTGGCGTTCCCCTTCTATTTTTTCGGTTTTGATATCTTGCTGGTTAACCTTTTAACTTTTGCGTTCTGATATTTTTGACATATTTAGCCTCAACGTGGGCTTCAATTACGGTCAGCGCAGCAGCTTGGGCTGGTGGCGTACCACTCACAGCACGGCGATAAGGCGCAGCGAGCCAAAGTCTCCGTTGCGCATTTAACAAATGTGCCGGTATTCTTTAGTTTGTGGAATTGGGCTTAAAGGCTGCTTAAAGCTGTACCTGGCTGAAACTGTACAAGCCGACCGGAAATTGTCTGAAAGGTGGAGTTTAAAGCGTGGTTGGAATCCCGAGTTCACTTCAACCGGACGCTGTTTGGGTAAGCATCTGTTGCAGGGACGATTTATCTATATGGCTCCAGGGCGGTGGAACAAGTCACGTGTTAACACGTAATATGTCACACCGTACATCCTATACGGTTTCTCGCTTTCTCGGGCACTCGGCGCGCATTACAAATCACCATATCTTTGGGACGCCCTGCTCAGCGTGCAATGAGCTAGGGAATAACAGACGTCGTTTTTATCACCATGCAAATAGGCAATGAAAGAAACACGCTGTTTTTTGGCAAAATGGCTCAAAACGTGATTATAATATCGTATACTGTAACGCGATTTTTAAAAATGCTCAGTCATTCGTAAGGATCAACGACAAATGCCACCGTCGGAGAAAGCTTGCCACATATGCTGAAATCCTTTAACAACGATGTGAATTAGATGACAAGTAGCTAATGACAACAGTTGAATACAACTATCGAAAGCTCCGACTACGTACATGTAAGAATGAAAAGAGACGGCCGTCAGCGCCGCGGTCGGCCCGTCTGACCAGGCCCGTCTGACCAGGCCCGTCTGACCAGGCCCGTCTGACCAGGCCCGTCTGACCAGGCCCGTCTGACCAGGCCCGTCTGACCGGGCCCGTCTGACCAGGCCCGTCTGACCAGGCCCGTCTGACCAGGCCCCGCCGGCCGGCGCCCCCACGCCAGCGAAGGGGGCGAGCCCCAGCCCCGCCCCACCCGTCCTCCTCTTCGCACCGCCGGACCGGCCCGCGGATGACCGGGAGCGGAGCTGTCCGGGGATTACCGGGGATCTCCAGACGCCACCAATGATGCATCAATAGGTGACAGGTGAATAGGGGGCCCACACCATTCCCTCAGGAGGCAAACCTCCGACAGGGAACACACAATCAGCCCCAGGTGGCTGCGGTAGCGAGTCGCTGAAGTTTTTCTCACAGATAGGTAAGGCGCACACGCTCTCTGGCCGTGTTCGTAATGACTTGGCGTATTTTCTCTTTCTGTTATCACTATGAGATCAACAGCATATTTCGTTTAATCGACACTAATTATAATTGAGATGCTTCAGTGTGCGAAGTTTTCGTTCCCTCTTATACAGCTGCCAGTCCGTTATGTCATTATTTGTACGCCTTCATTTGACATGCAGGATGTTTACACTATCTGTTCGTATCTTTACTCCCGGTGATGTAAATAATTCCAATGTTTGAACAGAGAGTAAGTGCCAAAGGAAGTCAAGCGACAAATTTGGGAGGAAGATTTGATGTGGATGAGTACAGCATGGAAACTGGAATAAAAATGAAACATTTTTCCGCCCTTTGTTTTCTGGCCGAATGACACGCCGGGGTGGTTTGCTGAAATGTGGTGGCGGGTTGTTCTGTAATATAAATATTCCACACAAGTAAGCGGGAAAGCGCATGAACCCACAATGCGACCTTCATCATAATCCTAAAACAAAAGACATGTCGTGAACATATCTCACTAACGTTATGGTGTATTGCTGTTCGTGTTGTCTCTCAGTTTGCTGCCAAATAGTTTCACCTTGCGCTGCCATGCGCTCGGACATTTCGGTTTATTGATAATATTTATTTCCCCATTTTTATCCTCTGCTGCTATAGCCACGCAACACAATTTGGCAAAGTCCTATGCACGTTGTTCTGTACAACGCCAAGTCCCATTTCACTTCCGCGAGATGTCCCGTTTTTTCCCGCCCCCCCCCCCCCCCCCGGGCTGTCCTAGGTATCGCTCAGTGTCAGATCTTGCCGCCATGGTTGTTCTCGCAAGCATGAATAACAAACGCTTTAACAGCAACGTGGCGAAAGGCTGCATCGAATAAATAAAGCAATCTGGGAATACTTTAGATGCATGTTCGTTAACATGCTCCCTCAATTCACGTTTGCATCATTCTTTTCCTGCACTCTATCTGCGGCGCAAAAGGACAAACTTGAAGATTTTGTGACCGGGAATATTGCAATAAAATGTTTTGAGATCATTCGATGATACTTCAGAGGCGCTCCAAACACTCCAAAGCAGTCGCCAGTCGCGCTCCAAACACTCCAAACACGCCAGCAGTCGCGTCCAGACAGCGTGCTGGCAGTGACTGCGCCGCCACCACACTCCAGCGCGTCGTCTCCGCCTTGCCGCTATCATGCCTTCTGCCTCAGTGTTTTGTCATTCAGTGACCTCAGACGCCTTTCCTTGACGGCTCTCCAAGCGGGTGTTATACCACGGTAGGTGCCAGATGTGAGATATTAATGGCTGATGCACATTCCAGTGCGGAAGCTACCCTTCTTGACACTGCATCCATCAGTGTATGCGTACACTGATGGTGAGCGCTGTCGTGGCTGGGGGGTCATCGTTCGGACCCTCGCAAAGGAGATGCCCTCGTGACGTTTCCGCACAACTACGCGTATGTTTCTTCGCGCAGCCTTCATGGGCAGGAGGTGATGCGGCACAGTTTTTCATGGCCGCTGCGATTCTGATGAAATATGTCGCTAGACTTTCTACAAGGTCTTTGGTAAGTTGCAGGCCCTTGGTAGCTGGTTTTGTAGTACCAACATTTTTCAAGAATGATAGCACCCAGACATTCCAAAAATGAAAAATTGCAACCATGCAGTCAACATCTTAAGTTCCAACATTCCTAACTTTATGCAGGGTTTTAGTTGCGGACTTTCATCACTGATCAAGACCAACAACGATTTTGTTTTGCTTAGGCAAATCTCGACATCTTTTCTCGCATGAATATTTTGTTCTGAGTTGAATCATTGAACGATGCAAAGAAAGATGGGGTTTTTCATGCTCCATCCGCTTTTCAATATTTATGTGCATACTTCTACCAGGTGCAGTACTCGGGATTTTGGATAACTAGAATGCTGATTCCATTATTTGTTGGTTTATTAGCCTAAGCGCATTCCCTGACCTAAAATAACCGAGCCAACTTCAAACGCTTCAAGGCCTTGTAGACTTGCCGGCTGTTCAAACGGCGCAAGGGTTTATCGCGGCAGACGCGTACATCAGTTTATCCTGTGAAAACTAGTTGGGCCGTGACTGTTAATGAAAGTCAACCAGCTTTGTTTTCCGCGGAGCAAGTGAGAAACAGCGGCCGCTTGACAAAAGGGTGATTCGAGAAACAGTTCCGCGGCAAGGACAGCTCTCTACGGTTCAGTTTCGTGAACCAGTGAAGGCTGCAGCTTCGGAGGGCATTCGGAAGTCTGTTTTAGGATGCTTAAGAGATAGAAGAGCTTGGCATTCGGTCGCTGTATTTTTCACAAGTCTCTATGCGACTATCCAGCAGGAATGCTGGCAACTCATTGAACCAGCATTTGTATGCATACGAAAAAAACATTCTGGCAAGCCCATCATATCATCTCAATCAATCGCAGCAGCGGGTGAAGCATGATGGGGATATGGCACTTGGATCGAGTCCAGCAGTTTTCAAACATGACAACTTTGCAGCATGGCACTTTTACGTGCGTCGATTTTCGTGATACAAAGCGAGTTCAGCTGTTTGAAAGCCGTGGAAGCCGTAAGGCTTATGCGTGAAACTGCCGATGGTTTGATAAAGCCTTAAACTGCGAGGTTCACTTCAAAGTCGCATTAAAAGTGATCATGTTGTGTTATGTTGAAAGCGGTTGTCGTTGTCGTTGATCATTTTCCCGTCCGTTGAAAGCGGGCGTAGTCGGTGCGGAATAACACCATGGCGGATTGGCCACCAAGCTTCGTAACGCGCCCACCCAGACGGACCCTGTGTGTCAGCGCCTCACGCATCACATCTCACTGGCGCGCTCATGCCACCGCCGGCCAGCGGTGTACTATCAGCACACTGAAGAGCATGTTCAACACAGGCCGTTCGCGTGCGGGTGCCTTGGGCGCCGCCAGAAGCGCAGATTATGTCATCTGTGACCCGTGGCAGCCTCTCCGAGATGGCCCTGATAGTGCGGCATCGCCCCCTGATCACCGGTCAGCTGACCCAGCCCTTACCTGGCTTATATGACGTCATCAGGTCACTGCGGTGTAAAACTGAACACTGAAGCACTGACGGTTGTCTGGTTCTATGTGAGGCAACGCGAATCAGATAGCCGCAATACAATACAACGCAATAAAGCACAAAATCAAAATGTAAAAGCTATTAGCGTGAAGATCCTCGGTGCAGTGCAGTAGCGTAATCCCTAGACCTAACCCATGTTGTTGCGTTTCCGACGGCGTTCGTGGTTTCTGACTTGACTCACGCGTTCCAGTGCCCTCCGAACGTCAAGTTCAATCTGGCCGAGTTCGGCATCACCCAGAATAGCGGCGACCGCTTCAAGGGGGACAAGTTCAACATCCTCTACAGCCCGGGCATGTTCCCGCGCGTGCTTAAGTCGGGCCAAGGGGTGAACGGCGGAATACCACAGAGGGGCAGCTTGGAGAAGCACCTGTTCCACCTGCGGAACGACATCGAGGATAACATCGCGCCAGACTACACCGGTGAGAACGCCTACAGGGACGGTGAGGGCGATAAGAACTGAGGTGGCTGTTGTGGGCTCACCTGCGCAAGTGATAGTGCCAGCGGTGCGCTTTTCGGCGAAAAACGACAACACGTAACAATTGGTGATACAGACGATAGCGCTGTCATCGTGCGTTGTGCTAAGATTCGAGTGAATGATTGCAGTCGTCTTCCTCGTCTTCATAAATAGGCTCCACAGCAGCGTTGGAATACCCCTGTTCCCTAAGTCAATGATTTATAGCATACACTAGCAAATTCACAAATGGAATGAATGACTTGGATATTGACGGTGTTTTGGTCTGGCAAGGCCCTATCACTCTGGTTGCGAAGCTCAATGAATTTGGAATGGTTTACATTTCCGGTAACGGCACCAAAATTATTCACGTAGATACCAGTTACAGTCCCTGAGGTACGTGCCCGTGTATTCCTCATGGCCCCTCTCTCTCTCTCTCTCTCTCTCTCTCTCTCTCTTCTCTCTCTCTCTCTCTCCTCTCTCTCCTCTCTCTCTCTCTCTCTCTCTCTCTCTCTCTCTCTCTCTCTCTCTCTCTCTTCTCTCTCTCTCTCTCTCTCTCTCTCTCTCTCTCTCTCTCTCTCTCTCTCTCTCTCTCTCTCTCTCTCTCTCTCTCTCTCTCTCTCTCTCTCCTATCTAGGCTCCAGCATGTGATACTTGAAACCGAGCCCCACAAGGGCGACGTCGACCGCCGCCTGGTCGATTAATGCCGAGCTATGGGTCCCAGCAGCGTTAATCTTGCCACCTTTTGTCGGTAAATTCAACTTTACCATGTAGTAATTCAACTTTACCTTTACCGTTATCAATTCACTGGGTACAGAGGTCTGACATCAGTCCTTACAAGGCGCACCAAAACGAGCGAATCCATGCTCCGCGCTGGAGTGGACGTGACTGCCGCACGGGTCGATCAATATAGCTTGTATGTAGATGTAGATGTCCGTGCTCTTATTCTCCTGATCTACAACAGTGGCGTCCATGCTTGCCATTGTGGCTCTGGATTATGGGAATCTGCATCTGGTGCACACCTGTGCAGTGAAGCATTTCGAAATTTACAGATTTCACGATTTCCATGTTAAATGCTGAAGGTCAGATGACGTCAGAGGGCAGGATGGAACATGCTGAGCAATGCGACACGGTAAACTTTCGCTACCAAATTCGGCCGTTGACTTGGAATTGCGCGATCGAATGGTAAGGTCAGGGCTCTCACAACAAGCACTTGCTGAGCTGAGCTCTTATCTCAGCAATCCATCCATCGAAAAGGTTTTGATTAAATCTTTAAAAAAGTGATGTAAGGTAAAATTTTGATGAACTTGCGATATTGCGGGAAATTAATGATGGAACATCTTGCATACTGCTCGAGTTAAAAGCGCCATGAAAATATTATAGTCCAAATCCGGTAGAATTGCACTAAATGTCGGTAAAAACTGCGTCACGGAGCGTTCCCCTGTTACCGAGGATGTTACCCGCCAGCCTGTGTTCAAGGTGCGTGCACGGGGCAGCGACCCTCGCTGGCGCACACGGGTACGCGGAGCGGAGTTGGTGCGGCCTCTCCGAGCGGGGCGCGGCAGGCGGTTACTCCAGTTCCCGCGACGCGGCGGCGCTCAAAGGCTGCTGGCGGCCCGCCGCCGGGCGCATCTCTCGCCAAATCGTTCTGTTTGCCGCATTTCGATAGAGCGGGCATTACATACCGGTGGCGTGGGGGGGGGGGGCTGAAGGGGAACGCGGGGTCGTTCACTCCGGACAAGGGTTCAAACCACGAAAACACGGACAGGAGGCTAACGCACCGGTTCGCTAGGATGTGTGGAAAAGGAAGAGCGAACCTGCGCGTTCTCGCCGTTGCCATGGGGACGGGCTGGTCAACTGATGGTTGCTGGGATACCTGGCGTCTGGCGGGTCCAGCACCCTCGCGCTGTGGTCGCACTGACGATGAAACGCAATCAGTGTAGGATCCTGGTTGACTGACATCGTTGCAATTTATTCACTAAAGTCGCCGACGTAGTCATGTTGCATCGACGTGCTTCCCGACACTGTCGTCATTAAAATGGGCCAGATACACAAGTTCCGTCACAGGGTTTCTCCTAATAGGCTGAAAATCCTGTGTCACTGATGCACACCTGCTTAAGTGACGTCATTGATCCACTCTCGCCGCACTGACGTCGCTGAAAGACTCTGGGGTCATCTCCAGGACCGGCTGTGATCGACTTTGAGGAGTGGCAGACGACGCTGAGAAGCAGCGGAGTTCTCAAGTACAGGAAGATGTCCAAGGAGTATCATCGCCTGCAAACCAAGCTGGGCGCCATACCACACCTCGACAACGTTACGGTACTGCCAGACGAGCGGTGTTCAGCGCCGACATTTCGTTTTGGTTCAGATTCCTGGTCACATCACTCGCTGCCAGGGGCGTACTTTGTAGGAGAATTTGTAGTTGCAGCCTCTCAATCCCTTTGTTCAGACCCCTTCCACCAAACTTTAAGATTATAGTTTCTGCACTTTGAATGTGAAGCTGGTTGAATACGGTGTTTGCTGTTGTCTACCCTAGGGTCTGGAACCGGCCACACTGTGCCGTGCAGATTCAGAATGGCAGTATGCACCCCTGCGCGGTGCTGTATCCACATGCGCACTGCATTCATCCTACCATTCGCATAACCTCGCATAAGAGTGGCGAACCCGACGAGCCGATGTAGGAAGCTCAGCCCCATTGTTTGGAGTAGCTTACGCACCGCATGTCATTAAATGCCACCCTTCCGACACATTTCAAAAGCATACTCCAATGAAACCTTAGGGTAAGTTGGTCTAAAAAAGGCGGTAGGTACTGTTAATGCAGCGCTATCAAGGCAAAATAAGAATATTAATCTTAATCATGTTTTACTCCAAGTTACGTTGTCAGCGCTCTGTACAACGCCACACGTCTCCCCCGCGGTTGGCACGATCGCTGCCGCTGTGGCAGCTCTGCTGCTGAGAATAAAAGAACGTTTGTGATTGGCCCAGCGGGCGTTAAGTGCATGTTACCGAGAAGCACATTGGTCGGGGTTTTAACCAGCGTGTCACTTTGGACCACGCGATACTCTCACTCCTAAGGCCCAAAGTGCGTCTCGAAAATAGCCACCGTGGTAAATGCTATTGCGAAGAAATAAAAGCCATAGTACGACGTTTCGTTGAATTCGCGGGAATTCGCGCATTTGCGAATTCTCAAGTTCGCATGGATTTTTGGCTGAAGCGTTTCAAGCTTTCGTAGCATTTATTACACAAACATTTTGACAAATTTGTCCATCGCAAAGCTTACAAAACACACGCTGGAAAAGCATGGCAATTGAATGTATCACTTTTATAGTGGAGATGAGGGAGTCCAATGAGATCCGGGGGGGGGGGGGGGGCGGGGGCGGCTGCTTCAAATCGAGACCAGAGCTATTCAGAAGCATTTCGAGAAATCTGGTGTATCTGATCAAAGTCTGAAATATTTTGGTACGCGTCTGGTTAAACAATGCGTCAAAAGTACAAAAAGATAGCATGTTCCCTTAAGCACAGCCGCCGTGAAGAATGTCTGCAAGTTCATCCACAGTCGATGCAGCTATACTTCATAGAACATTGGCGCCTTACCTCTGCTGTCTTAGCACTAACAGCATCTGTCCCGCGACGGAAGTAAACGTTCCCCATCTGGTAGCTTAAGAACTTGCACTGGGTTAAATTTTTTTCCACAAATCGTCTTAGGCTCGGCGCTATTTGCCTCACATGTTAGGTCCAGTCCCCAATCCCCCTCCCCATAACACGATGGCTCCCGCACCGTTGTCCCTATTCGTTGTTATAGCAGGCCGGAAGATGCCAGCACCGCTGCCGGGATCTCCCGTCTTCGCTAACTAGTTCCCGCTCCGGCCACCAGGCGGAGGCGCTATTCGAGCGCGCCAGCCGGCCGTTCCTGGAGCGGACCCTGCAGGTGGCGCGCGAGCTGCGTCCGGACGCCCTCTGGGGGTACTACCACTACCCCTACTGCAAGAATTACCAACCGCACGTCGACTACTGCGCTCCGGCCATCAGCGCGGACAATGACAGGTACGTTGGTGCTGCTCTGTACGCCGGTAGGCAGATCCTGCCCCGTTTTGTGCAGCTTGCGTGTTGTTCGTTAGTTAGCGTGATCGCTCTGGACCTCATGTGCTTCTCTGATGAGTGCTGTTGCGGGTGGATGGGCTGTGAATGATAGAATGCACCGTTGCGAGGCTATGCTTTAGAGACATCTGACTGCGCAAAATTCAGATAGAATTGAATATCTTAAGCACTTTGGTTCTTCCCTTCTCTGCTTTGGTTGGTGCCACGCCTGATTTAAGCACCACCAGTTTTGAAATCACTTGATCATTAGGTCAAGTAAGTGGTAAACATTACACCATATTCATGTGGCCTTCCGCAGATCACAGTGGATCTATAACAACTCGGTGGCGCTGTACCCATCCGTCTATCTCCTGAAGCACAACTATACATCATGGGACAAAAACGTGCAGGTGGGAATGCTACATGCCATGAAAAACCAGAAGCACTCGTGTCAGCTTACTTTTCCTATGTCTCCTGCCAAAGTATCTCTGTTGTGCTTAGACATGGCGAAAGGCTCACCGCAGTGGCATTTGGATGTTGTTTCATATGCTGAATATATTTATTATTCACACTACACATTTGACATTACGTAGAGACATCACATTGCTTTGGTAAATATTATTTTGGCATCAAGTAGGCAGGCAATCGGCACAAAACAGCTCATAAAACGTAGCTATTATTTCAAAAATATGAAGGAAAATAAAAGAATCCTTAACAGCGTGCGGGCCAATTCAAGTTGAACAAAAACAAGCAATGCAGCATAACCAAACAGCTTATTTCCGATGGATATCAACGCCAGTTTTCTCTTCCCTCGCCAGACCCGGGTGATCCTGGAGGAGACGGACCGTTTGGCAACCAAGGCAGGTGGCCGCCCCGTCTACCCTTACACCTGGTTCGGTTACCACGAGGTCGTCAACGACTACCTCTCGCCCGGAGACCTGCTGGCCACCATAGGCCAGGTGGTGACGCGCCAGCCGGCCGGCCTCATCATCTGGGGCGGCAGCAGCAACGTCAACAGCTCCCGTCTCTGCCGCCAGCTGCGAGACTACGTGACGTTCCGCCTGGGACCGTTTATCCGCTGGATGCTGAGCCGCACGGAGCGCCAGCTGCGGACGCTCGCTCGCCGCCTGGCGGCCGGCCCAGAAACCTTCAACGCCCAGGTGGCGCTGCTGGAGCGGCAGGGCGTGTTCGGCTCGTGGCCAGTTACGGCCGAAGCGGCTGCGCGTCGGCGCAGGGTCGGCACGTTCGTCGAGGAGCTCGACTGCTCTTGGGTGAGGAGGGCTGCTTTGCGCCTGTGCAGAACTGAGCCTCTGTCGTTACGGCGCCCACAACGGTCACAGGCGGGGCTGCTTCGTAAAATTTGTGCTAGTCGAGCCCCGTTGCCCCGTTGTCCATGGTCGAAATGCTCAACGTGATTAGATGGCTGCTTATTTATGTTTTACTAAGATTGGACATTTCAGTCAGTTGAAATGTATGTAGAGGTACGATGACAACGGCACGGCAGTTAGCTTTGCTAACCCTTACCCGTGCATGCTACAACATAACATTACTCACGTACCTACAGAAAAGGAACGCTCTGTTTCAGACACACGGCCAAAGAAACGGAAGCGTCTGCTGAAGAATCACGCGGTCTTCGGAGTTGTCACTATTCGACGTCATTGTACCGGGTGGATGAAACCGCTGAAACCTTTGATTCTCCCCCAAGAAGCTAATATTTCAGGTGCCACGAGGACAGAAGTAGTGAAGAAGGGACTGATGTGAGTGGGTTACTCTGGACCCGTTCAACATCAAGACCGATTGATCGACGGCGAATGCGGGTCATGCTTAGCCACCTGTCTCCTCGCTTACACAAACACCATCTCGGCCTTAGGTCCCGGAGCGAGCTGGCGTCTATGGACCGTGTATTGTTTGCATAACTCCTCAATGCTGCGTTTCGCGGCCAGAGCTTGTTTGACAACTTACTTCTGTTGCATACCGATAGCGCACGAACGCCCGACCCTGGCACAAGGCATGCGTATGAGTGATGATGGACCTGCGTTGTGAAGAGCTAGACGCGGCCTGGGACGTGCCGCCCTTGGTTGGGGCCGGGGGTGGCGCCACTAATTTTTGGTAGGGGTGGGGACGAGGTTGCAAAACCACCACAGCATTTGCATTAACAGAAAAGAATGAGAGAGCATGTGCTTGATACCGGCTTTTTGTAGACATTGACTGTGCTCGGCCAGTATAGGAGAATATCGCCGGGCGGTCTGTTGGAGTCCTAGAAAATCGCACTAGCTTGGTGACAGTGCAGCCCTTCCGATGTGAGGTAACTTCATTATGGTAAAAGTTAGGGATATGGGCCCTGCGTGAAGACCTATGAGCAATGTATTTTGTCCTGCAAGAAGACTGATAGAATATGGGGACTGATCTGCCTATTCAACGCTAGAGGGGTGCCCTCCCCTCCCCCCCGTCTCCCAGTGGCACCGCCCCTGGTCGGGGCGGACGCGTATGCGTAGCAAACTTACGGCTGTACAGACTTCCGCACAGTGCACGTTCTTTCCACCTTCCTGTCACTCTCATGATTTTACTTTATCTCGAGCTTTCGTACTTTTATCTTCCGATGTTTCAGAGTTTGACACTGCTCAATGGGCTTGCGACAATGTGCAGACAATCGGGGACAAGGTAAATGCGTGATGTGTATTTAACGAATGGTTTGACGTGCGCGACAACACTTGTCTTTACTGCAAAATATACGCGCTGAAGGAAGATTTACGTGGATCGTCTAGTTCGGCTATTCAAACCAGTCAAAATCCACGCCATATTTGGATAAAAAACTGACATTCCTCTCTGATTCCTCTCGTAGCAAAATAACAAAAAAGGGACTATAAGCGAGTCTTACTACAAAATACCACACATGCTGGAAGAATATGTGTGTCCAGTGCATCCAGTGTCCAAGTTTTGTGTCCAAAATCTATGTGTCCCAAGTATCCGGGGCCAGGGCCAGTATTGCCATTTACACTTTCGACATTCGTTTTTTTTTGGGGGGGGGGGGGGCAATGAAACCGCGATTAACGTCCTGGATATTTTCCGCCCCAATACCAAATGACACTGCGTGTCAAACCTGGTGAAAAAAATAAAACCATCCTGCTTTCCATGCCAAGGTTATGACATGGGGGAGAAGGACCAAGGGAGAAATTCGGTCAGAAACTCAGTCTAGCGACGCCAAGGAGACCATAACGTTTGCCGGTTGATTTTCTCTTAAATGTTAACAAAGATATGTGAAAAGTTGTTTAAATGGCTGTCTTTTTTTGCATGGTGCTCATGTACAAATCCACATGAAACCAAAAGGCATCGCGCACACGATCCCTACTGGGATAAAACTTCCGCGATTTTCTGGAAAAGTGCACGCGACTGGGGTACAAATAAAAGATGCTAACACAGCGTCGGAAGACCAGAATTATTTCTTCTCGGAAAGACTCCATCTACCACCAAACCCATATATCACTGCCCGCCCCGATCAGCGGATGCAAAGTTGCCATTGGAATAGCTGCAGTCTGAGACCGTTTCTACAAACACCAGCCGTTATTTGTTTTCTTCGAGTAACTAGCCGTGTGTACATTGGTAGACCATGTCGGGCCTCAATTAAAAATGCTTCCCCACATCGAAATACTTCTTATCTGAGAAAATAGTCTTTGGCCGCGAGTCAACATGTTTGATCAATATTCGCCTAAACTACAGCTGTTCGGAGAAGAATACGGCTGAAATTTGTACAAATTGTTTTAGGTTGTAGTTCTTGCTGCAGAATCTTCACTCGCGCTCAGACAACCGCTTGATGGTAAATGGCAAGTGTGGTGAAATGATGTATTTTCGATAAGTTTCAATGTCCATAAGCGTGATGGCTGTGCGCAGTGTTCACCCCTTGTTATGGCTTGACCCAATACAATCTTTAATGGTCTTTTCTTAGCTTCCTTCTCCGATGTCATAATCCAGGAAGTGTGAACACTGCCACTGCTGTTACTAAGAGGAACAGTGTGAGATTTATTTCCATGCTCCGACACAAAACAACACTTGGCGAAAGGCATGTAAAACATGGACGACATGAGCCATTCACGTTGCCCGTTTTGGGCATAAGCTGAACTGGTCTAGGAATACATCAAGTTATGCAGGACGTCACAAAGTCTGTTTTTTTGCTCACATTTATCATGTGCTATGTGTTAACGTGAGTAATTTCCGAGCATTGCCATTATTCTAGAAAACAATTGTTTTTTTCAAGTTAAATCTTAACAGGTTTTGGTTTAAAGGCCATCGCAGCTTTATGTTAGGCAGAAACCGAATTTCACTGCATTTACTCCAAAGGAAAATTTTGGAATGTTTGAGTGACTTATGTTTCTCTTTCACTCCACGCAGTCTTGGGATATTTTCCTTCAAATCGGTGTTGGTATTTTTAAGCATATCCATATATATATATATATATATATATATATATATATATATATATATATGCAAGCATATAGGTTGATGTATTTAGATATGAGATCAATGTTAGAATAATCACGAGAACTTGAATTTTACAAATACGTGATTATAAGAGTTGTGTCTAAAATTGTCACCCTAAAAATGCCTAATGAAGAATGACACTTCGAGCAATATAAGTTATACCAGGCCATGCAATACGACAATCTATGTCTTCTTTGTATCATGAGCTTTGGAGCCATTTTGATTTAAAAAAAACAAAACATAAAAACGGCCACCAGTGCTGCCTCCGCAGCGATTTTGAACAAAATGTATATATATACTTATATGCATAAGTATAGATGCTATTTTCCTATAGCTGTGCGCTACAATATATATATATATATATATATATATATATATATATATATATATATATATATATATATACTGTGTCTGTATGTCAAGAGGTGTAAAGAATGGTTTTGCCACAAGTGGAGAGATCGAACGACTGACATCTTATCGCATTGTTCGGCAATTTGGGCATTCACAAAATGAGTTGGGTGAAGTGAGCTGAACGGTGAAAAATGACCCAACCTATCCAAAAATATACCAACAAACGGGTTTCTCCCCCGATTCGGCCCACTTTCTTCTCAAAGTAAGGGGACTGGGGCCCAAGTTGGAGGAGAGGCTAAATCCCCTCCCCCTGAGAATGAAACTCCCCCAGGGCATGATATAGGTGGAGAATGCCGCACGGCAGATTTGATAACGGCCATCCAGAGCTCTACTGAAATTAGCAAAAGGTCACATCATTGCTACCGAGAGTTATCCGCTACAATAGCTCTAATAGGTTCATGTTCCGGCATGCATTACCGCTTGATTCCTGACGGGCGTGGAGAGCACTGCACCATTGGCTCGTTCAATCACGGCGGAATAAGCTGATGCACTTCCTCCCACTATGAAGAGACGAATCGTGTTACCAGCCATGTCATGTCCTTCCATCCCACCACGAACGCCAGAGTTCATCTTTTTAGACCCGACCACCTTCTCCTGCCGATCGTTCGGCAGTTTTCACACCCAGATGAAAATCGTCCAGATCATAAAACAGGCCCATCTGTCTTTTCGACGCACAATGATAAAGCCGGAAACAATCAGGATATAAAGTGAGGCTGCCGACGCACTTAATTTCAGGCTTGCCCCGCCGCCGGCGTCGGCTCCCGCAGTCGGTCCGTCTCCATATTGGGTTGGTCACGTGATGTCTGGCCCTGATTTCACAGTACGGTAGTTGTTCTTCTGCCGTCGCCATTGCCAAGCACTCGGGCTTACTTCCTATTTTATGCGTGACGTAATGGTCTGAGCCTGGACACAAGCGTTCAAAGTCGGAGGTGCGTGAGGGCGAACCCAGCACAGTCCCCCGTTACGGTGCGAATCATCCGACTGTTAGCGCGCGCCAATGCCCTAAACAAGAGGTTAATGACCGTCGGGGGCACCAACTTTCAAGAAATATTGAAAATATTGCATCTCAAATTTTTATAAGAATGTCTTAGAATGCAACAATGTTTAAAAATGTAAGACAATCCAATAATGTAAGAAGATTTCAGAATGTAAGAATGTCTCAAAATGTAAGAATGTCCGTACATGTTAAAACACCTACGGGTGTGGGAATGTCTAAGAGTGTGGAGTGAATAAGAACAAGAATAGTGAGAATGTAGGTTTCCCAAGTTCCTTTCTATTGCAGCTGATCAGCAAGTGATGTATGCTGTGACTTTGACATGCATGGAGCTCCATGACTTGGAAATGCACTTCCCAGCAGGTCGTGCTGTTCACTGCTATTAACTTATGAAGCATGCGTACCGCCAGGGTGGCTTGCAGAACTGACTAGATCCTGCTCCATAAGTGGGTAACCATAGTCAGCAAAATGACACGTGTCGTTTTAATTTTACAGAGAAGTATGCGAGTGCATTGTGCATGATGCCTTCCGCTTGTATTTGTTAATTCAATTGGTTATGGCTGATGTAGGTTTTTGAAAGAAGGCGGTATCAAATTTGATGGAATCGAAACAGATCGACTTTGCCGCATCAGTTCATAATCCCATGACAAAATACAGCACAAGATTCGTTAAAAACTTGGTGTCTCCGAGTTACGTGCAATTTGTTTCTGTTTCTGTCTGTTCAACCTCTGTTTCGACGATGTTCGAATGTGCTCAGATTGCGTAGATGTGTTTGTCGCCCGCGCTTCGAAAACGCGGCTGGGGTTCAGTTACCTTTCCAATGTTGTTTGCTTTCAATCATAATTGAATCCTTTCTAAATAGTATGCTCTCATATCATGCCCACGGTGGGCTATTTCGTTGATATAGTTCGTGCACTGCGGCGTGCGCGCTGAATGATTCCTAGTTGCATAGGCAAAACAGCACACAACGGCTGAGGGTTGAACAACCAACTTTCGGCAGATCTTCCGCCTGAGAGAACTACTCCCCGAATATCTACACTCGGGAAACCTACCCTCGGAAGATTGACGGCTGCGCACGGAAGACCTACGCCTCACGAGCCTACGTTCGGAGGATCTGCTACCAAAAGATCTACTCCCGGAGTACCCACGCGCGGAAGACCTTCGCTTGGCACACCCACGTTCGGAAGATCTGTTACCAGAATATCTACTCCCGGAGTACCCACGCCCGGAAGACCTACTCCCAGAAGACCGACACCGTGACTGCCGGCTGCCGATGTTTTTTAAGGAGACAGAAAATTCAAGTAGCAAGGGGCGGTGGCACGCGGTGGGTGGCCGGAGCGGGATGAGCATAAACCTAGCCTGGGTGAGATCGGTCCGGCGACCCACCGACCTCCGAGCGCGACGGCATGTATGACAGAGTTTAATCGCATTGGGTGAACTAGCCCGAGACCTGGCCAGTTGCGGTGCCCGTTCTAACCTTCAGCTAGACGGCGGCAGGGCCCCGACCAAGAGATGTTGAACAGAGGGGGAGGGAGGAGAGAGGGTTGGAGGGACGGGTGATGCCTGTGAGGTGAGAGACGTTAATCGTTCACGACCAAAGGCAGCACGACCATGGTCAAAGGAGCAACCACCCTATTGCCAAATTGGCGATGGAGCAAGCATGCCTTTTTGTTCCCCACCTCCCATCCGAATTTCAAAATGCTTCATCGCGTCATCAGCGGTCCAGGGGGCCGGGAAGGAACATGACATAAAATCAGAGGGAATGTTTATAAGCCTAAGATAGTGCCAGTTTATAAAAAGTGAGCGAGATCCATGAACATATTTGGAAAAAGGTTGGGACACGAGGCCCAGAGAACTCCTTGCCCCCTGGCAAAAGTCAGTGGCGGCGCCGCTCCTGTCCATAGCATGAGGACAAACCTGGAGATTCTCACTTGCTGAAGGAGAAAAAAAAAACATCAGGTCTTACGGGAACAGCTTTCCGGACCGATCCCCGTGCAACAGCCGTCAACGACGTGAAGTTAACCTCGTACATTATACCTCGTGCATATTGTATGGCCACTTTCAATCTCTTTCGGGGTCATTTTCCAAAAACACCTGCAAGGTATTTGCCGTTCCCGATGATAAAAAACAAGGTATTCACACGTTTGGCTCAAGCATGGGCGCCAGCAACGGCGCCGTGCTATTACAGCGTACGATCTCCTGTGAACTAGTTGGGCCAACCTGATAAGTTGCTCCTAATCCATTCGTTGTCCGTGTATTCAATTCAATTCAACTCATACTCTTGGGAAGCTGGTTGGACGGACAGTCTGATTTTTGTAATAAAGAACATGGTGGATGAATTCCATGCATTTTATCTTTAAAATGCAGCTTATTTCAGCGCACCTGAAACCTCCGAGTTGGGTTGTTTTTCACGGCAAAAGTTGAGAAAAGTGTGACGTTGAAATAATTTTTGGCTTAAATTTACAACATAGATACGTACAGCTGGATAATTCTCGCACACAAACTGACTAGGATATAAATTTGTTTGAATTCATGAAATGCGTCAAAATCGCACGAGCTTCCTGCGTTTGTGGATCAAATATTCGGAGGAAAATGCGCATTTTAGGGTAGTGGCGACAAGCGCTTCGGTTGCATGATCGCATGCGTTCCCCACCCCACTGCTGCTCGGCTCAGGCATCGAAGGCGTGCATTCCAGGCGAAATCTCACAACTTAACGGTCGGTGACTGGCAGTCTTATGGGAAGAGCAACGGTGAACTGGCCCCATCACACATGGATGAGTCCGGCTTCCGCATTGTGCAACAGGTTTCAATGCCGTATCTCGTGAGGATATCGAGATGTAGCTCACATCCTGACCATGGCTCAGAAGCTGCAAACCCGGTACTCGCTGCAGTCAGATCGACCTACGGCACATGGAAGAGGAAACACACGCAGGTGAAATGCCTTCACACACGAATACAGATGCTTACACAAAACCAGAATGTCGAATTGCGACCACGACAGCAATCTCTCAAAACGAAGTTGGAAGCGTAAGTGCCAAAGTCTGGTGGCCGGC